GAATCACAAAATTGCAAATTTTGAAATTTGAGCGCGTGGCGCAGCAATAGGAGGTCTTTAGACCGAGCCAACCATATATAAAAAAATTTAATCATACAAATTTGTACAATAGTCAGTTTAAGGGATAAATATTAATATAGTTTTTAGAAAAGATTTTACTGCAAAACAGACAAAAAAAATATAGAATTACTTTCAGTATCTTGTAAATATGTTTTAAGTGATTAGCATCTTGTTCTTTAAAAAGTATTTTCTTAACTGTGTAGCTAATTTCAACCACATTTCCATTTAATCTATTTAACACCTGAAACTCAGGATTATCTCTTTTGGGACATAGATCCAATATCATTGGTAATAATTGACCTAAAAACAATGAAATAAGTCAGCATTTTAAAATAGTTTAAAGTCACTGAGAGCACTTACATGTTTCTAATGTAAAACATTGCATTAATTCTATCTGATAACCTATTTAAATCAAATGCATTAATGCTTTCACTGTATATTTTTAGTTCATGGTTCTTTCTGGAATGATGTGTGGAGGATTTGTGTAAAATAGCAAATATGACAAAGAGCACCTTTGGCATAATATCCAAAAATGTAGGGGTATCACCATAATTTCAAGTTTCAAATTTTTCAATCAATTCATCTTCTGGTTTTCCCCTATTCCCTCTTGGCTTTTCTTCACCATGCACAAGACAAAGTTTTTCCAATAACATAATAAAATCAGGTTGACATAGACCTAAAAAATATTATTATTATCTATTCTAATTTTTAGAAATAAAAAACTGCAACTATTCACCTTTTAAAAATATAAATTTATCTGAACATGTATTATTGTTGGTATTATGATCAAACTCCATTGACTTCAAGTTTATGCCAAATATTTCAAAGGACTTTTTAATCACATCATCCCAGAAGCTGTGGTATGAGTCAGCATTCATGTGTTATCACCTACCACCTACTAGCATAAAGTTGTAATCTGCAATTGATTCAAGATTCTTAACTTGGGATGTTGCAACCTGGATTGCTGTTTTATCAGGGCACACTTAGAACTGTCTTTCTAAACTCCTGGCCATTTCTTAACCCATTTTTAAACCAATTTGAAAGGATTTTTTAATAGTGACCACCCCAGCTTCAAAGAGCTTTGAAAATTTTCCAAACTAATGTTTGAGTTTCAAAGAGCAGCACTAGGCACAGCAAAAATTTTGTACTAAGGCAGGGGACTGACTGAACACATCCCATATATAAAATGTGAATTATGAAAACTTTCAAAATAATGATGATTCATGTAAATTTTTGGTATATATTAATATATAATTATATATGCATTAATTATCTTTGTAATAATAATTTTCAAATTCTTAAAGTCAAATATAAATTAATCAAACTAACTTTGTCCAATACAATACAATTTCATTTTTGCTAAAATATCTCCATAAAAATCCTCTCTATTTTCTGATGTTATCACAATTTCATTACAATCATAAGACTCATCATCACGTGCATGAGCATCAGTGATTAAAATAAAGATATGCTCTCCAACATTTGCATCTAACAACTTTTTATGTTCAGACTTTACAACTCCTTTACCCAGGATATTTGGTGAACATCCAATAATTTCTTTTTTTTGACTAATAACTTCTTGCTTGTCTTGAATAAATATAGGTGGATTTGTCATCATTATCCCATCTGAAAAGGAGGCATTTGGCAGGTTGTGGAAAGCAATACACCTTTCTTTAAATTCTTTAGTATAATCATTAAAAAATTGATTCCAATGGTCTTTATCAACTCTGTAGGGTGTTGAATGCACAACAAACTTAGGTTCAAATTCAATATATTTATCTGATTGTCCTTCCAATGGAACCAATTCAGAAAGTCTACATTTCCCTCTTTGACCTTCAGTCACTTTTTTATCACTAATAGATTTACAATATAACCCCCAAAGACGAAAAACCATTACTGATAATGTCAATTTCTCATTTTCATCTGATGAAAGTGTATTTTCTACAGAATGGAGAAGTTTGATTGCTGGTAGCTTGGTTTGATCTAAATTATGATAGACTTGCTGTAAAGTGAGAAATGGAAGTACTAGCTTTTTTTTGTTCAGAAAAATCAGTTCATCCATTTCCAAATCCTATAGGGAAAAGCATAAAACAAATAAATAATTTATATCTAGGAGCATGTATGTAAGTCATCAAAATCTTACCTCAATCTTTCTTTTTCCCAATGTGGTTGTCCGAGTAACTTCCCACCCAAATAAAGTATATGCAACTAACTGAGGTATAATTTCAATATTATCTGATGATGTGTATGCATTGTAGTAATGTGAATAAGATCTACTCAATTTATCTTTCACTCTTCCAAGGAGTGTTGTACAATAATCATGATTGTATTGACAAAATTCCAAAAAATGATGATATCCTTGATGATAAAACCTTGTTACAAGTGTATTTTTATTAGACTTGACACTAAAGCCAATAATAGCCATTTCAAATATCAGAATTTCTAGGTAACGACCAACAACACCAAGAAGATTGATTATATGTTTTAGATTTGGAGAAATTTCCTTAATCTTCCTGCTTTTTGTGATAAAATATTTAGTCTTGTAAGTCTTATAAAATACATAATTAATGAATCAATACTCACTTTTCTTGATTCTAAAAGAAAAAAATATTATTTGAATTAGTACTAGATCAATCAGTAGTAAATTTTAATGCCAAAAATTTAGCTTACCCGATTTGCTAAATCTAAGATCACCTCTTGTGCATGTTCTGAAGTTAGTAATGGTAATGATATTTCTTGAATACAGGCACTAGAAGATGGAATTGAATTGAATAAAGAACTTGCATGAGTCCCTGTTAAAATAACAAAAACAAAATTATTTGACACAATGAGATTGTAAAGATTCTTAGAAGTTCTTGAAGTGACTTAGATTGATCCCTCTCAAAAAATGCATTTGTCTCATCAATATTAATAATGAAGAGAGGCAAAGTTTTTTCACTTGGCTTGTAAATTAAGATTATTTTCAAAACTTCACGTAGAGAGATCAAATCCTTTCCTATAACTTCACAAAATTCTTCAAAATTTTCAATCCTAGAAATAATCAAATAAGTATAAACATATTTACATCATTGTAAATATATCAAGTCAACATGTGTAAAATCTTACCCTTTCAGATGATACTTCAAAGCTTCATAAAGTAGTCTTCTTCCAAATAATGTTTCAACCATTTCAAGGTTTTTTAACTCATCAATATTCATATCATTACATGAAATCTGGAAAAATCGATCATTATCTAAGCAATCATCCAAAATCATTTCAAGTTCATTTGATATAACTTTAATATAAAGATCTTTGTTTTCATATGCCTTTCTTGCAAATGTAGTCTTCCCCTTCCCTGATGTTCCTACAGTGACAGGAAACACAATTTGTTTCTTTGGTTCTGCATAACTTTTGAGATTTTCAATAAGATCATAAAGATTTTTCATGTTTTCCATCAACTGCTTGATTTCATTCTCACAGTTTACAAATTTTAAATACATTGAAATATCCAAAACATCATCAGGAAGAATTGAAGAACCATGCAGTGATTCACAAAGTTGGTTTTCTGTGTCAATAATATATGGTTCAAGTTTCTGCTTGAGGTTATCAACTGTCAAATTTCGACCTGCAATAGCAACATAATTTAATAAGAACATTGGATTTGGATTAGAAATTGAAATCAGTATAAATTGACTAAATATGATAAACTGATTATTATAAATGTAATGATAAAAAAAATTTCATTCAGAGCACAAAATTAATTAATAAACAAAATTGCCTATATAGTTAAGAAATTAGATCATTTTATACTTTACTTGCATTACTTACCTTTCACCATAATGTTTGTTGCCACTAATGCATGTTGTATAGTAGAAAAATATGAAAAGAGAAAATTTCAAACCAGTCAATAGATAGTGATGAATAAACAATTTTGTCAGTTAATATTGCAAACAGTATAAATAAATGAAATGAAATGAATGAAAATAATTTTTTGTATATTTTTTTACACAATTTGTTCATTACCTTCTCCTTTGCCAAAATTAACTAACATATCTTGCAACTTCCACACTTGCTTTCCCCAATCATCTACCATCTTCATCAAACTCTTCTTTTTTTCTATTAAATAATTAAACTCCCCTTCACGCATTTCTTTATCTCCTTTCAACAACTGGTCCAGCCTCCCTCCCCATTTTTCTTTCCACTCCTTCAACTCTTCCTTTGCCTTCCCCGATCTCTTCTTAGCATCATTTAATTCATTTCTAATTTCGTCAATACTTGTCATTTTTTTTTAGAATAAAAAAATATTTTGTAAAAATTAATTTTTTAACAAATGGGATATTATAAAACTGTTAATTATATAATCACATTACAAATGACTAAATTTTGAACCCTGAAATCATTGGTAATACCTAGGGGTACGTTAAATATATGGGGGACAACTCAATGTTACACATATAGATATTTGCAAATCTTCCAATTCTAAAATCCTAAATTAAAAAATGTCATATGTTTCATAGTAAAAAAGAGAACTTTGCATAGAAAACTTTACACACAAGAATTTTTGAACAGCCAATGCAAAAAAATTAAGTTATTATTGTTGAAAGCTTTATACTTCTCAAATTTTCTCTTGATCAAGCTCAAAATGACATTGTTAATTGTTAATTACCAAGAAAACACCTATTATATATAAGATTAATGACAATTATATTCATTTTACTTCTGTTTGCAAACAAACTACAAACAATAACAAAATTAAAACAATTATAATAAGCATAAAGAGTGGATGAATGATAAGCAGGTAAAGAAGTATATATATACTCACACACATATATAAACTATTATTAAATTATTAAAAATATATATATAATAATAAGAAAAAACAATATTTTTTTTATTACTTCAAAGATTACAAAGAATCCTCAAAGAAAAACAAAACTAGACTAATATATAGAACATGATAATCAGGTAAAGAAATAATATATATACACGCATACATACATATATATAAACTATTATTAAAAGTATATTTTATTTTATTTTTATTATTATTTCAGAGAAAAACAAGGCTGAATATTACAAATAATATATAAAAAGATGGTGTATATAAAAAATAATATGTATAATTCATGTGCATATTTAATACTATTCATTAAATTTGCATGTAGGAAAGGATATTATTATTATTATGTATTTTAAATACAACCTTATAAGGAATTTATGTAAAGGAATGTTACTGAAAAAAACACATCATCAGGAAAATGGGTACAAATATTATGCATATATAATACACAATTGCAGGGATTAAGCATATAATATGCGTACAAA